TTCCCGGTACTTCGTAATTGGATCTGGTAAAAGGTGTTTAGATCGTAACAGTTATTATTATTACTCGTGTTTTGTTCGACTTCGTAATTGGATCTGGTAAAGGTGTTTAGATCGTAACAGTTATTATTATTACTCGTGTTTTGTCGACTTCGTAATTGGATCTGGTAAAATGTGTTTAGATCGTAACAGTTATTATTATTACTCATGTTTTGTCGACTTCGTAATTGGATCTGGTAAAATGTGTTTAGATCGTAACAGTTATTATTACTCGTGTTTTGTCGACTTCGTAATTGGATCTGGTAAAATGTGTTTAGATCGTAACAGTTATTATTACTCGTGTTTTGTCGACTTCGTAATTGGATCTGGTAAAATGTGTTTAGATCGTAACAGTTATTATTATTACTCATGTTTTGTCGACTTCGTAATTGGATCTGATAAAATGTGTTTAGATCGTAACAGTTATTATTATTACTCATGTTTTGTCGACTTCGTAATTGGATCTGATAAAATGTGTTTAGATCGTAACAGTTATTGTTACTCATGTTTTGTCGACTTCGTAATTGGATCTGGTAAAATGTGTTTAGATCGTAACAGTTATTGTTACTCATGTTTTGTAGACTTTTTTTTAAGTGTTTAAATTCTACTCATGAAACATCTATGCCCCTCCCCAGTGGCTCGGCGGTAATTCTGCAGGCTTACAACGTTAATATTGGGTTTCGATACTTGTGGTGGGCACAGAACAGATAGCCCATAGTGTAACTTTGCGCTTAACAACTACTACCAAATCGAAACATGTCTAACATGTTTTGGTCTAATGTGGAATGCTTCGAAAACAAACGTTCTTCTGCGCATGATGGCGTCTAAATAGGTAGTGCATATGTTATACTTATAAACGCCACTTTTACGGTATATCTCTCGAACACTTATCAAGGGAACATATAACATTTTGTGTTTTATACAATGTTGAAGATATAATATTTTGTGTTTTGTGGTACCGAATATATATACAATAATGTATATTTTATTGTAATGTATATATATATATCATATTTTGTGTGTCATATTGCTGAATATATAATATTTTGTGGTTTAAACAATTTTGAATATCTAATGTTTCGTGTTTTGTGGTGTCGAATGTATAACATTTTGTATTCCATTGCACTGAATATATGATATTTTATGCTTCGTAGTGCTGAATATATGATATTTTATGTTTCGTAGTGCTGAATATATGATATTTTATGTTTCGTAGTGCTGAATATATGATATTTTATGTTTCGTAGTGCTGAATATATAATATTTTGTGCTTTATAATGCTACTAAAAGTTTTAGCTAATTATAATTCATTAAGATATGTTACGTTTGTGTTAGTTTTTCTATAGCTTTTCGTTTTACAAAACAGCATTCACGTTTTCTTTTAGCACAGACGTAATTTTCCGTTACCCTACCGTTCCTCCTTTTTCTTTTGATATTCTTTGTCTTTCTAACCAACCAAGTTGCTTCTATGTTAATCCGTCGGTTACTTATTTGTCTAATAAAACTCGATCATTTTAAAGCAGAGGATCAGTAGAAACGTTGCTGAGAGAGCATGCCTTTCGCCATTCACCGTTTCGGGCATTCATGTCTGGCGATATACCCTCGGACCAGGCAGCCTTAGCCCAGGCAGCAGGTAAGCTTTAAAATATCTCCATCTTTCTCTTCGCCGTGGCGTTATAAATACTTGAAACCTAAATTATATATAGTGCAGTTTCATAGTTAACAAATGCACGAGCTAATTACAGTTTTGATCACCTCATGATGTTATACAATCTTGATACGGCATTAGAGATGGTCTAATGTTAAGAGGTTGGGTTTGATGTAAAAGTGTATAAGAGAGAATTCCTAGCCCTTAAATATATATATATATATATACATATATAATTAACATATTCTTTCTCTCTCTCTCTCTCTTTATATATATATATATATATACATATACATAATAATTTCTAGTTACTCATAATATCCTGAAAGTTTGAGACTGATAGAATAATTTACGTGCGCATTAACGTCTTCCAATAATTAATAGTTAAGTCATCACTATTAATTAATAAACGAACGGAAATAAGCGTTTTATTTATGTCAGGATAACAAAAACTAAAACATAATACTTATAAGTGGATGGCAATAAAACATGTTAATAAGTTTGAAAACAAACGTGGGCTAGCAACGACCTTAACGATCTAATGATTTTTTAAGACAAACGTGGGCTAGCAACGACCTTAACGATCTAATGATTTTTTTCCTCTTCTTTTAGTGAAGCTTATTTAATTAAAAGACTTGTTATCATAGTTCGTGGTTTCTTTCATCCTCGTTATCGTACTTAGATCTTAGTTCAATTTTCTTTTTTTTTTGCAGCCTACGACGTGTGTTATTATCATATAAGTGCAAAATTTGGGCTGCCCACGACGTGTGCTATTATCATATAAGTGCATAATTTTAGCAGCCCACGACGTGTGTTATTGTCATATAAGTGCATAATTTTAGCAGCCCACGTGTCATAATTCTGAACAATTTTTTGAAAGTGCCAACTTTACTTCTACAGTAAAATATAGGAGAAAATAACACCCCCATCAAATCAGATTTATTTAATTATTTTAGAATTGAGCCCGTATAATAAGGAAGTTCTTTGGAAATTGCAATTTTAATCCTGTGATAATACGAAGGTGAGACTTGTATCATTGACTGAGCCTTTATATAGTGAAAACGAGCTCTGCTAGGAAGCCAGCTACTTGTAAATTATTATAGAGTTTATTCATTATATATATCAATTTATAAAACACGTGAATGATTAAAGGTGAATTATATAAGTCTTACTTAATTACAATAACCTTTAATACACAATCAATTGGTTAAAATTACTGTAAGGGAAAAATGGCAACGTTTCGGCCTCATGCCATCGAAACCTCTTCTAAAGAAGAAGAAGATTGGCCGAAACGTTGAGGCATAAGTCTTTTTTTCTTTAGCTTCTATCACGTTGTAGCTATCATTTCTTTATTACTCGTGGTTCATGAAAGTTTAGACATACACGAAACGTTGAGGCATAAGTCTTTTTTTCTTTAGCTTCTATCACGTTGTAGCTATTATTTCTTTATTATTCGTGGTTCATGAAAGTTTAGACATACACGAAACGTTGAGGCACAAGTCTTTTTTTTCTTTAGCTTCTATCACGTTGTAGCTATTATTTCTTTATTATTCGTGGTTCATGAAAGTTTAGACATACACATCGTTTTCGTTCAAACATCCTCAACTTTATTTCATGCCGAATTATACCTCCAGCTCCTCCCTGCGGCACAGCGGTATGTTTTCGGACTTACAATGCTAGAAACCGGGTTTCGATACTTGTGGTGGACTGAGCTCAGATAGCCCATTGTGTAGCTTTGTGCTTAACTTTCAAACAAATAAACAAAGTCTACCTCGAACATCACGCTATCAATTTTTATTTAGTTTGTCAGCTTTACGATAGAAAGAATCCTGCTACAGCATTTTGGTAAAAGAAGTGTTGTTAGTGTGTTTATCAGAACAAAAAACAAAACAAGAGAAATGAAATAATCATACCTTAAAAGAACACAGAACATGATGGTTTCACAAATTCTAAAATGGGACAATCGGGTCGATCTGAATCTAAATATTCCTGTTTTTTATTGATAATACATCGGAAATGAACACTGATTTAAAAAAAAAGTTCAAGTTCACATCAAGATTATAAAAAAATTCATAATTTTCTCATGATAAATTGTTATTTTACAGCCTTAGGAAGAGTTCCTCCTCCCACTGAGCTTCTTCTTATGGCCAGCCAAGCCGGAAATCCCTGGAAAATGCCCGGAATGCCCTTCAGCATGGCAGAGCTTAGTTCTTTTATGAATGCTCACCAACAACAGGCTAATCATTTGGCAAACCTCTACTTCGGGCTCCCTAGAACTATGTTTCCACAACTGTCCACGGTCTCAGCATCAAGCACGGTAACTGGAACTGCCGCTGCCGTTGCTGCATCTGCGGAGAACATTAGAAATCCGCCCGGACACCTGCCACTCCCCGCGGCGCTCCAGTTCTCTTCATCACGACCGATTCAGACAACCCTTCCGCCAATTTCGAGCATTACAGCCGGGAGCTCGTCTCTTACTCCAAGTCAGCTATACAGTTCTCGGCTGCATTTATCATCATTATACCCTGGGCTTAAATTTCATCCATATTTCAGGCCTAGGCTCCTCCAAAATTCCAGTTCAAAATCGCCATTAGACGCTGAAAGTGAAGGCATTTTACCTTAAGTTGTAACATCTGTGAGAAAAAAAAAAGGTGATAGAAGTTATCGAATACTTATGATTTATTAAAAGGATTCTATCTAGCCCAAGACCTTGAGAATGAAAGATCTTAATCTTTGTGGAATTAAACCCAGATTTAGGGTTCCTATTTCGTGCCGTGAGATTCAAGTTTTGTGAATTTTATTTTGGGAAAGCCAGATCTGCATTTCTAACGAACTTTTTTTGTATATTCCAAGTGGGGATTTTATCTAAAGTATTTAATGAAAAAAACGACAACAACTTAAACCTCAGAAACTTCAATATCTTTGGATAAGGAAAAAAAAACAAGGCAAAAAAAAAAAAATTGAAGTTACACATTGCCTCGTCTCTAGAATAATTTATTTCAATCAAAAAAGGAAAGAAAAAAGACCCTAGAGAAAGAGAGTTTCTCTGAACTTTTACCACAGCGTTGAAAGTTTTAGAATTCATCTTTCTGGCATGAATCTTTTTTGTAAGAATCCTAATAGCAAAGCGCGTGGATCTGAGCGTGCATTCTGAAAATGAATATCCTTAAAGATTACAACAGAATTCGAGGACTTGTATATGAAAAATATTAACAGTCTTGATTATCTTCTTGTATTAGACATTGTGTAAAGAAAAAAAAAGGTGTCTGTGAAAGTTTTAACCTTGGACCTTTCATCTGATAGTTTTGAAGTAACGGTTGGATCGTTAACTAGAACGTGTATAGAAGAAATTAGGATCATTCTACATTTAAGCACCCTTCTCTAAGTCATGATGGATCTCAAAAAGCGCTTCCCAGATATGTTTTTTTTCGGCTGTGAGTTGATAGATATTGTATTAGTATTCCATTTAATAAATACAGAAAAAAAAAGATCCGTTTCGATTTAGTGTTTTTCATTTTTAGGTAATCTCTAAATGTTACATAGTGCAATGCGTGCTTTGTTTGCCAACGTAACCGAACATTTAATTACAGACCAATATTCAGATAGAAGGTAATCCATATTATTACAGATTCGCTAATAGCCCGCCTAATATCGGTTAGTCTATAGAAAATAGAATTAGTTCTAATTGTGGATTGGTCTTAACCTTTACACATTTGTACAAAGTTAACTTATCGTCAAAATAACCTGAAAGCCATTTCATCATTTCAATAACCTGCATACCTAGATAAATAAGAAACTCTTTTAATGAACGCTTTGTCTCCTGTGTCCTCACTGTTCGGTGATCTCGTCATCCGCTCCTAGGATGTTCTTCGATACAAACAAAGTAACGAACAAGTGGACCGCATATGTTCAACTTTTGACTGTTTCGATACATTTTTTCTAATCCCTCCTCTCCCTGTATTGATATTAGCATGTCTTCGAAAGTAAGTAATAGTTTTACAAAACTTTGTTTTCCCCTCTTTCCTACGTTACCACGTCCTTTGCACGTGCGTGTAGACATACATTCTATCACCAGTATAGATGAAGACTTGGGACGCTTTGCATCTGCGTCTCCTTGTTCTCAGAGTGTCCGAACGTGCTGTTCCAGTTCTTTCTACGAGGAATTGTAAATTAGAAATTTCAACACGGTGAACTAAAACGTGCTCCAACAAGATGATATCCTTCTCGCGCGCGCGTGTGTGTGTGTGGCAAAGTTTAAACCCTCAGTGCGTTTAAATTTGGAGAATTGTAAATTAAAAATTTCAACACGGTGAACTAAAACGTGCTCCAACAAGATGATATCCTTCTCGCGCGCGCGCGTGTGTGTGTGGCAAAGTTTAACCCCTCAGTGC